CAAATTCTTCATAAAAAATATATCTCTGTACAAAAAGTTCTTTTGCACCTACTTCATGTCACAGCAGCATGTAGTGAAATGGCAGAATGGAATACTGGGAATGAAAATTAGATTGACTTGATCATAATGCCAGTGGTCTTCCCCAATCTCCCCAGGCCCCCTCCCCTCCTCCCCCCTCCCCTTTTTAATAACAGCTTTTCTTTGTTTACAAAATATTTTACACAAGAAAAAAAATTATTGCAGCGAGCCTGGAGAAAGGCAAGATGTGTGATACAAGCAGCAGTTTTAAACAGCTTTGAAGCACATATCCTGTTTAAAAAAAAATATAGCATGTATTCTTTCCCCATCATAATGGGTCTGGTCAACAATGAGAAAGTATCTTCTGCAAACATCTCAGAAAGTAAATTTCCTGGCTGCCATTACCTGACTGCTGTACAATATTTTAAGAGACTTGTTTTGATGAAGCACCACATACAAGTCTGTGCACACAGAGCCCTCCGTAATGTAATAGCAGGAGTCTAACCTGAGCAGGGCAATGCAAATCTAATAGAGAAGGAGGGACCATTGAGCAATAGGCACAGAATTGAAAATGTAAGGAGATCTTTCTTTCTATTGAGGCCTAATCCTGCCATTCCTAGACAGGAAACACTCCCAGTTAGTATCACAGGATATTTTGGCTGCTTTAGATCATCATACTTGGACATAGCAGAATGCAATACTGGACAGAGAAACCTAAGCTAGTTTGGAAGGAGCTAACTCAAGTCCAGGACACAGCTATTGCAGCACTCAGTACAAACTAACATACGTTGCTACTTAGCAAAGCTTTACATACCCCAGAGAAATGATCTAATCTAGAACATTTTCTCAGTTGTGTAGTCCTTACACATCTTTCATAAATAACCAGCTAAAAGAAGGGGTTGCAAGATTAGGCCATGCAAGCAACATGTGACAACCAGCAAATTAATTTATTTTGATCTTTTTCTCTTTTCTGTTTTGAACTTCTTTCCCAATACTCCTCAGTGTTCATTCATGGACAGATATTGACAAGCTCGCTGAAAAGGTAGAATTAGACAGCTTCCACAAAGACTATTTAGTTAGCATTTTGCACTTGTTTTGAATGACTAAAATCTGAGATTTTTCCCTGTCTTTGGTATCACAAATGGAATCCCAAAGTTGCTAACACAGTTTTTTAAAAAGATAATTTGAGGATCAGCAATCCATCTCTATGACCTCAATTTAGTTACCACTGTCCTCCCTGACCAAGTGTGGTAAGAGAGCCTCCCTTAACAAAGAAACATCCTGTACAATGGGGCAGGAATGGGAGAAAATGGAGACTGATTCAGACCTGACCGTTTCATTTTTACTTTCTTTCAGAAAAATGTGTAGCGCTTTAGGGTATAACAGAGAAATATAAATTAATATGCAATAAACAAAACTACCACCAAAAAATGAAACTATTAAAAATAATTATTAAATACCATATTTATTAAACACCATTTTTTCTTCAGGTGAAAAACATAACAGCTGGAGGCTCTAAGTTACTTTATAGTATTGCTGAAATTTTACATCTAAAAGATGTTAAATTTTCTAAGCTGATTAAGGTTTATCTTTTAAATTATTTTCCTATTCTGTTTCATTAGCCAAAAATGCTTGCTTTCTTTCTGTTTCTTTCTTTCTTTCTTAATATCTGTTCATGTTACGTTTACTAGTCACATTCTCCTCACATAAAATTAAAATATATTGTTTGAAAATAGTTCAGTATAATAGCAAAGACATTAAAAAGTTTGGATTTGAAAGTTAAACAAGATATTAGCTTGGTTTTAGAACTGATGTACAAAACAACTCCCTCAGTTTCTATGCTCACACATTTAACTGAAAGCAAGTTATATTGCACTGTTTTCTGCAATCTGCAATTTTAAAGGATTATTTGAATCAATCTACCCATCCATATCTTTTTATCCCATATTTGTTTTTTAAAAATTACCAAAAGCTCCAAACTAATGTTAGTTGCATTGCTGCCAAAATACATACTTAAAAATCTCAAATTTTCTCTGTCAAACTGTGTGAGTACAAAACAGCATTATGCAAGGTGTTAAAATGGAACTCCAAAAAATCTAAAAACCAACCAACCAATTAAAAACCCCCCAAAAAGAAAAACAAAGCATATTCCTTTTGTTCAGTGTAGAAACTTAATGGTAGCTTGTTATGAACAATTTGCATTGGGTATAATTTGCATGCTACTGTAATGTGTTTTAGTTCAATGTAACATTAAAAAATGATGTCATATAACTGGAGACAAATGGAAAAAAATGCAAAAGGGAAGACTGTATTGTGAGCAGAGGCTCACAGGCTTTATGAGCTATCTAAAATAAATTACTATTCACATTTGTACATGGCAAGCAGCAATAGCTGCTAACCCCCCTGCTGTTTAATAGTATGATGCCAACAATAATGATTGATGACTGATTTCAGAAGAAACAATAGAAGAAATGAAAATGTCTTAGAAATGGGCTCTTGTTCTGGCTGGAAGTCTCCAATGGTTTGTACTGATGTCTAAGGAGAAATTTAGACAAATGAAATTAAACAAAGCATGTATTTTTTTTCCTATCACACAAGATTTCAAACTTGTGCTAAGTATGGGGTCTTATTCTAACACACCAGGTAAACTTAAGGAATGTTTTGCTCTGAAAACAGTGAGTGAATGTTTATATACAATGGATAGTGTGTATAAACCCTGTATATTTTTACCAATATCGTACTCAGTCATCCATGACACTCTAGTGCAAAAAATTGTGCATTAATGTTTTGCTATACAACAGCTGACTGGGAATTTGCAAACTGCCCTATTAATGAACATCTGAGATATACTGCAGGTTGCTTTAATTTCAACACGATTTCAATGGTAAAGCATTTGTAGGTGTTTGCAACCTTGAGGAAGGTTGTCTTCTCCTTCAAGAAAGCTTTTTCTTCATAATATTCCTGTTCTTGGGGATACTCTGTGGTGCTATCATTTGTCACAGTACCTAAAGGATTTCTCCAAGTGCCCAGAAGATTGCATTGAAAGGCATCCAGCCACATACAAATATGAAAGTCTGAGGCATTAAATATGACAAATTGGCATGATTGGCAGTCTTCCTTAAAGTGTGCCTTGATTTGAAGCAGATGCAGCCAGGCATTTTAATCCACCTTTAAGATGAAAAAAATATATATATTCTTTGTCTGATCCCCAGAAGACTGACATGTTTTACCAGAAAATTTAGCTGCATGTATGCCGGCAGAAGATGTTAAAGATTACAGCAGCAAAGCCAAGAGAAGAAGGGAAACTGGTATATGGCACCAAAGGAATTACTGCTTGTCCATCAGAGGTATGGCTATGAATCAGTCAGATTGGGCACTGAAGGCTATACCACTGTACAAACTGTGTTCAGAGTCGTGTCAAACCTCACAGCCTTTGCCTCTGTGGGTTTTAAGTTTGTGTCATACATGGGATTTTCAAATGAAGCCTGTCCATTGCTATTTTCATGTCCAGCATACCCATTGAACTGTACTTTTGGTCTTGTTCTACAAAAGGAGAAGAAAATACTATTAGCGATGATTAAAAATAAAAGTTTAGAACTACTTCATTTTTTAAAATAATTATTGTATAGGATCCATACATGCAATACAAGAATGTTATCCTGCCCTAATAAACTTGTGGAGGGGGCCTAACAACTATGGGAACTACATATAAGAAGTGATAAGGAGAATATAAATTTCTATGGGGTAAGCTGACGCAACACAGAACAGAAACAATGGAGCCAAGCATAGGTATGCATTTTGTCTAGCAAAGTCTGTCAAAAACATGACAACCGTATTGTCTGTTGTAAGTGCCAAAAAAGGCAGCCAAAATAGAAACAAAGGTTGGATGGAAAAAGGAATAAAAATCATCATTAAAAGTGGTCTTAATATTTTTATGGGCATTTTCATTTAAGGACTTGACCAGCTCTACACCTGTCATCAGTAAAGTTAAGTAAATTAACTTCTTATTCTGCAGAATTTAAGCACTTCAGTCAAATGAATACTACCTTCAGTTAAATGCATACTGTGTGCAAATTGTTTAATAGTTATTTTGATACTTCTAAATGGTTGATTTTAGATTCAGAATCACAGCAGCCTGTTTGACCAATTTTGGTTTCTTTTCTTTTCTTTTCTTTCTTTGCTCTGCTTTCATGTTGACTTTACAGGTGGTTTTAACCTTTTCTTCATCATAATTTTATATGGGATTTACAATCATACTCCAATTTTATTTGGGGTGGTACACTTTTATTTAGGGTAATACGAGGTAATTATTTAGTGGTAGTAGATGGAGAGATGGAGAAGATTAATTTTAAGTCATTAGATAAATGTGCTCAGACTTGAGCACTTAACAGTACATTTAGCTACCTAAATAATTGGTCTGATTTGCAGCGCAAGTGGAAACTTACAGCTCTCATTGACTGAATTTTTTCTGGTTTAAAAAAAAAAAATCTTTGGTTCCTAAATAAGTATTTGAGTGTTTGAATTTAGATAACTAACTAGATTGACCAATACTCAGAGAAACTATGAAACTGGAGCAGTGAATAGCAGATTTTGTTTTCAAGAACCAACTCTTCATTGTGGCTACCATTTTACTTTCCTTCTACTTTCATTTACTTTACAAACTGTAATGATAAATACTATAACTGTATTCAGAAATAAATGTATTTACTTTAATTAAAAACTTATTAATATATTACACAACACCAAAACCAAAGAAATTGCAGTCTACCTGCTATCCAACAGAAATAACTTACTTAACACTGTATTTGCCCTTCTCAACAACTGTGATGTATCCAAACAAATGGGTAACCAAGAGTAGGAAATTATTTAGGAAATTATTTAATTATTAGCAGCAAATGGAGGGTAGTATACCCAGATTCATTTGGTTTTGAAGTTCTGAATTAAGAGAACCCTGTAAGTCCTGATTGTAACATGGGAAGCATTCTCTTGACACAGACATATGAGAAAGCAGCCATTAATCTGTCATTTTATAAGCTCTGGGTAAGGGAATACCAGGGCTGGCCAGGATATAAGCTTGGGCATGATGGGGTTGGGATGGGAATCACATTTCATTACAGAGATTCTGGGATTTACTGTATCCCTAAGGGCACCTCCAGTAAGTTTCATAATTTAAGCAGACTCCCAGGGCTATCTAAGGATACATTAGGTGTCTCACAAGTTTCAGTAGAACTGGCAGGGTGAAAAAGTCACTTAAAGTGACCTTTCCTTTTCTTCCTCACCTCCTTAGGGCTTTGATTTCTATGTTGTATGAGGTTCTGCACAAAATTTCATCCCGAGCCTTTCTAGAATGGAGAATAGTAATCAGTGTCAATTGATACAGTTAATATTGTGTTTTCATATGGGCCTGTGCTCTAATAATCAATTTCCTGATTCTGGACACAATCTTAAATATGACACTGATAATTTATCTGAAACATCTTGTTTTACTGGAATAGTATACTGAGAAAATACAGAAAAGAAAAAATAGTCATTCCAACTTCACCATATTTACCCAAATCCAAGATAACTTTCAATGTAAGATTCCAATAATTAGAATGTAAGACCCCCAACAATTAGATTATACACATGAAAAAATAATTTAATTAATTTAAAAATATATAATTTTTCGTGTTTAGAATCTAATTATCTGGGAGTCATCTTAAGTTCACCCCCCACCTCACCACTGCAGCAGGGAAGCAGTGGTAAGGGGGCAGGTGGTGGGAGGGCAAGCAGCAAGGGAGTCAAGATTTTACCCCTTGCCCCCTGAATCTGTCTCCACCACCACTTGCTGTGTGCTTCCCTGGTGCCTGCATACCCTGGCACCTCCCCTCTGGAACAAGCCTCCTCCCATTTGCCCATCCTTCCACCTGCCACCCATGCCTGCACCCACTGGCACCTGCCCCCTTCCCCTCCCCGCCTACTGTTAAGAGCCACATAATCATTTTTTAGAAGGGGAAAGAAAAGTGATCCTTTAAGTGGAAAACTTACCACCCCCACAATGCTGCCACCTCTGCCACCCCACCACTGGCTACCCCTTCTCCTCCACTACTCTGTACCCCACCTCTCCTTTCCCCTTTCACCACCACTTAAACTCTGGCCCCAGCTCTAGCTCCAATCCAGTTCTGGCCAGGGACACAGAGCACATGGTTGCTCCTGTCATGCCTGGTCATGAAGCACTGGCACTGATGGCAGCAACTCTGACCCTGTTTCCAGGGCTGCAGCCTGAGCTGGTACTGATGCAACCATTTCTATGTGGCTAGGCAGGGCCAGAGAAACCATGTGTTCCATGTTTCAGCCTGGAGCTAGGCTGGGGCTGGGACTGGGGCTGAGGCCAGGGCCAGAGCTGGAGCTGGCAGCAATGATGGGTGGGGAGGATAGGCATTGTGGGGAGGATTGGAAGAAGTGGCAGTAGAGGGCAGGTAAGTGATGGGATGGCAGAGGTACCAGTTCCAACTCCATCTCTGATCCTGACCCTGAGCCCAGGACAGGACCAGCATCAGAGCCACAGCAACAGCTTGTGTCTTGAACCCCATGCCCCCTGGCCTGTACTTGAATCAAAGACAAGGGGTCTTCCCCCCATGCTTAATGAGGGAAAAATTCTCATCTTGGATCTGAGTAAATGTGGCAAGTTAAGGAGTAACATCCCCTTATATAAATCACTAGGTTTTTAATGTTTGATAAAAGTATCAGAACAGCAAGGTTGTAGCAAACACTACCATAAACAAAATAAATACAAATGTTCTTCTGAAGACCATTTTTAAACTTTTATCATTTTTAATTAGAATAAAAAATCTTCAATTATTTAGTGCCAAGGATCATATAACATGCAATAAACCTTCATTAAGTATATTAAAATAAGCATCCTTCAGGTTGTACATCTAGTACAGTTATGCTGATTTGGATTTTCTAACAGTAGACTTAGTTGGGCATCTTATGCCTTCAATATTTCATGTTCTGACATGACCTAAACTCTTGTGGCTCCTTGCTGCTATATAACATTTTCCCCCATTCTGGTACTGGGCACATTTAGAAATGAAGAGTAGGTTGGACAGCACAATTTCTCCCTGTAACAGATTCTTGACCAGAGATCAAAGGGATTTTCTTAAACATTTTTTCCCAGTCAAGGACACTTGTTATTTGCCAAAATATATAGCACGTTAACTGGAGTTCATCAGTCTAAACCCCTCATCACTTTCTTTTTGCCATACCATGTAATGACAAGGTAGGTGGATAGCCAAGTTATAAAATTATGGCATAGGCCCATGGTGGAGTACAGTATTTTAACTTTCATTCTTGATATCAAAAAGTACCATGATGAGATGAAGGACCAAAGAGCCCACAAGAGTATGACTAGAACAACTTTTTTTTTCATTAAAAGGCCATTTTTAAAATTAAAAGTAAAACAGGTGAAAGCCATAAGGCATTACAGCTGGTCACAGAAAAAATATTTATTCTATCTGAGAAAGTTCTAGTCCAACACCATTTCCTGGTAGGAGCAAAATGTTAGTGCATATACAGATGCAGGTTTCTCCACTACATTTCTGACCATTCAAGGGATTTATTCAGACATTATGTACCAAATTTGCATAATTTACATATAAGATAAGGCTATTCCAATTACAGAAGTGTTTTCTATAAGCTTACTCAGCATGCACTGTAAGTAGTTGCATTACAGGCTGTTGCCTCATGGGATTTATAGATTTTCTAACGTTTATAATTAATACTATTACATTGAAGTAAACAACATATATTATATTTAATAAAACTCTAAAATTATAGGATAAAATTATCTGCCCTAAGATTTTAATCTGATTCAACCTAACAAACCAAGAAGTTTTATAGATTTTTGCTTCTTAACATGGTGACTCATTTCTTTAAATGTTTGCCATTAAGAATTGTTCTGCAATGAACTTCTGTGTGGGAGAACTCAGGTATATTTTTCCTTTTTAGAATAAGGAAGACATTCTAAAATGTTTTATCACCATATTCCCCAGGTCCCAGAACATTTATCCACCCAAATTTAAACAAAAAATGTGTTAAGTTTTTTAAGAAATAACATTGACAATACCTGTGTTTGTAGAGGTAAAATGCAAACCCTGATAATATTAGAGCAAAGAATGGAACCAGGATGGCAGCTGCAACAGAACTGCTGTTTGTGCCATAGTAGTGGTTTGAAAGGTCAGTACCAGAACTTAAAGGACCTAAAAATGAAGAAAGGAAGAGTAGTGATATCATTAGTTAATATCATGCTGTATGTGAAATACATATTTTTCTCATTGAAGAAAAGAAGGAAAAATCCTGTGCTGTAAAATTGCTTTCAAATTAGATTCAAAATAAGGTATTTAGAAAGGTTGAATGTTAATCTACTACTATTAAAAACCATAATGATTTGACATCAGTCTCTCTCAAGTTAAATAATTACTGGGCATGTCTACACAAGATGCTACTGCACAGTTGTTACTGGACATTTATTCAGTGCTTATATTAGCAAGTACTAAACAAATGCTCAGTAACCACAGTTACTGTGCAGTAGCGTCAGCAAACGTCTTTTAGGTGACATTACTGTCCAGTAGCCTAATAATACTGCATAGCAGAATATTAGCACTGTCCGTTGTGTGACATGCTACTATACAGAATTTTTCAGCTATTGCGCAGTCAGCATCTCAAGTAAATGCGCCCACTGAGACTTAACATTCCCAGTGTGTGTATATATGTGTGTGTGTATGAATTACTGCTTTGCTAATAAAAATTATTCAAAAAATAAGGCTGTAGACAAGTTGTTTATGTATAAGGAATTCATTAAAAAATTAGGAGTCTGAGCCAAAGCCAACAGAGTTAAGAAAAGTTATTTTTAACTCACTTTAATGGGCTTTGAATCAGGCTGTAGTGTTTCTAGTTTTGTTAATGGTTTAATATCTTTTGTGTTCATTATTAGCCCTGTATGAAATCAAGGGCTCGGTTCAACTTCTGAAGAACTGAAAAGCCTCTCTGTGATCACGTAGAGCATTTTTACACGTGCTCCCAGATGTGACGCCAGGCACTTTAATTAGCAAGCTGCACTAATTAAAAGTGCCTGCTTGTCACACGTATCAGTATCGCCATGCATATCTGTGCTGAAAAAATGGTGGCAGGGCACTTTGAACTAAAGCTAATTAGATGTGTTTTATTTCAAAGTGCCCCACTGCCATTTTGTCAGCGTTGAGATGTGTAACGACACTAATACACAGGATATGTGAGGCTGCTGGATAGCATCAACTTCCATGTTCCAGCAGACTCAATTAATCAAGTCTGCTGTGACATGCTGGATTTCCAGCACAGTGGAGCAGGCTCTTTCCATACGTGTAGGAGCTCCCTGTGTCACTTTGATTAGACAACTATATTAGGTGCAAACACTGAGGTAATACTTTAACTTGGTCAATGATTTGGTAAAGGTAAACTTATTTCTTACATAAAAAGATATTCAACACAATGCTCTGGATACGATGTGGACTACCTTTACTCAAGTCAAACTATATTATAACAATATGAATCAAATTTCTACACAGTAGAAAGTACCATGTACCATGTATGATTCATCATGTATAAGTACCATGATGAATCAAATTTCTACACAGTTGAGCCAGGCAGTTAAGTACATTAGCTATCAGTGTTCTGGGAGCTTTTACATTTAACTGTCAGTTCACAGCTCTAAGAGGGATTTCTGATTTCAGATTACCATTAAAAATGTTCTAATGATCAAACCATTTCCACCTGGTTCACACCTAATTCAACAGAAACCTAACTGTGGATGTCAAAATGTAATTATTTTTTTGGTGAATTTTCAAAAAAATATGTTCCTATTAAGGACTTCATCTGTGTATTAAAAACTTCAGGCCTTTAGGGCCTTGTTACTTTGGACACTTAGCATGCATTTTATTTAAATTGTAGTAAGCATTACTGTGCTCTCTTACAAGTAAGAATGTATTCTAAGCAGTAGTACAGTAATGCTTACCATGACAGAGTTGGACAGCTGTCCACAGCTGACACAGTGTTAGCTGTGTCCCCTAACACTGACCCCAGCACTGTGTACCGCATCTCATAACTCCACTTATGAGGACACGCAACCCCCATAGATTCATAGATTCATAGATTGTAGAGTCGGAAGGGACCACAATGGATCATCATGTCTGACCCCCTCCCCCTGGCAAGGGCGAGGACTGAGGTCAGGATGTCTAACCTGAATCTACTCTCCACTAGTTTGCACCCATTATTCCTAGTTACTCTTAGGGGTGCTCTGGTAAACAGTGCATCTCCAATTCCCTGTTGTCTTCCCTTGATAAATTTATAGGTGGTTACAAGGTCTCCCCTCAGCCATCTCGTGTGAAGGCTGAAGAGATACAGATCCCTCAACCTCCCCTTGTAGGGTCTTTCACGAAGGTCACTAATCATGTGAGTGGCCTTCCTCTGAACCCTCTCCAGATCCTCTGTGTCCCTCTTGAAGTGCGGTGCCCAAAACTGGACACAGTACTCCATGCCTGGAGCCCATGCCCTCCTCACTGCATACCCAGTGCTGCCAGCATGGGAGCATCTGCTCCTCTCATGCCAAGATGAGCCAGGTCTCTGTCACTGGCGAACAGTGGAAGGAAGCAGAGGGAACTAGGGCTGGGAGGTGCCCCTGCATCTGCACCTGCCACTAGATGTGCAGGGCAAACCAGGTCCCTGCTGCTGGAAGTCTTGAACCAGCTCTGGTGTGGTGCTTGGACTCGGTCCAACTGTCGCAGAATCACCCACAAACCAAACTGCCTTTGGGGTTCACCATGTGACATGCATGAATATTCTTTTAAATTAGATTTACTTGTGTGACTTTTGGTTTCTATGGGTGCATTTACACAAGA